CCCTTATTTTGCTGACTACAAAATATTTGCAAGTCCCATTTCCTCTCTCTTTATATTCACTCCGCAGATAGTCTGGATCATTTCCATGATTATTCCTTGACTGCCAACTATATAACTCCCCTGACTTTCAAACTGATGGGTAGAATCCATGGCACATCTTTACTTGGTGGTTTAATGAATATTTCAAACTTCAGTTTTGCAAACCAAGTCTATTTTTTCTCCAGCATAACACATCGAAGGGGTACCTCCACGTTCCTAATCTCCAGAGTTAGCTACTTCTCTCTCGTCACCTGCTACTAATGCCCTCTCATTAATTATATCATAGTTAAACTCGACTATGTGCTGTTTGTCAACCATGACTGGCATGCTCTCAGCTCAGAGCCTCTGAGGCTGGTATTCCTTCTTCCCAATGATAGGATTCTGCAAAACACCCCTTGCTTATTTGGCTCTCAGTTCAAATGTTATTTTATCAAAGAGCCTTCTGTGAATATATTAAATATTTACCAACCCTTTCCCTACTCCAGTCCTCTATGTCTTCCTTACATCTGTTTTTAAGTACTAACATTACCTACATATATTTGTATATTTTGTCTTTTCTCACAAAAATATAAAATTTACAAAGGCCTTGTTTAATACTTTTCAAAGAAGGTGAAAAGAGGTTAAAAAAGACAAGTACATCTGACCATGTATTTTTTATAGTTAATATAAGAAGAAATGCAGCTCAGCATGAGAAGTAGTGTACACTTCAGGTTTTTTCAGAAGTTGTAGAATTTTCATTATGGAAAGGAGGAAAACATCACCTCAAATGCTCACCCTACAGAATCTCTGCAGACACGCTGCTGAATTATTGATCTTTTATTTTTATTTGGTTAGGGGCTTCTCTTTATTTTCATTCATCTTCTACCACAATATTTTCCACACTGAACGGGAGAAATAGATAACTCATCACTATTATCCTGAGGGAGAGACCCTAGCTTGCTTTCATAAATGAGCAAAATCTGTAAAGAAGTGAATATATTTAATCAAAGTTTAATGACATTTGTTTTGATTAGATATATTTTATTTAGACAGTTTACCATTCACATATTAATATATCATGTACACAAATGAGCACACAGCAGAAGTATCTTTGAAAAATGGTCTTAATCCATCAAATATGAGACACCCCTGAGAATTAAAATTAGACCCAAAATTCAGAAACTTATGAGTTACTGGGAAATGATTGTCTGCTAAATTTGTTTTTAAAAAGCTAAAGTAAAAATAATACTTTTAAAATAACCAACAGGGTTTCATTTCAATTTACAATACTGTTTACTTCTATGCAAGAGTTTAAATAAACTTCCCTTATCAGACTAAGTATTTTCATTTTCTTATTAGTTTTTTGTTTTTTCTTTAAACAAATCACTCTTTCCAGACTCTCAACTCCTCTGCAATTACTGTTGCTTAAGAAAGTTCCATTTAGAATGAGATTACAAGAAAATTATAGACATCAGCTGCACTTAAAGTTGTTTAATATGGCAGTTAGAATAGCTTTCGCTCGGCATGTATCGCTTGGCTGGTGGAAACTAGTGCATGATACAATTTTAACACAAACTCAAAATATTAAAATTAGTCTACTTCTCATATGTTCTCAAGAAAGTGATTTTTAGAGGCTAATCTCTGTACACAGTATTTCCACTTTAATTAACAGTGCCTGATGAAACAGAGTATTGTCGCTAGCATATGTTTGTCTAAAACTTCTTTTGGTAAGCATCGTGAGATCCAAATGAAGTTTATTCTCTTCAGTACAGTAATCTGCAGGGAAAATTCCTTAGCTTATACAAACATACTCTACCATATATTTTAGTGTCTATTATGTGTTTTGAAGTTCACATTTGTGATAGAAGTAGCATGCAAAGGTTTTTAGAATTGCAACTTTATCAGGGCTTTGTTGTTCAGCATATTCAGACATAATTTTACCTTTAAGAATTTATATTCTCACCAAATGTAATACTGTATATGCCTTGTCCTTCCCTCTTTATGGTCACATACTAGATAATCCTGAAAGTGGATTTGATAACAGTCTGAAACTCATTTAGGAAGCTTCCTTTCAGTATATTGAAAAATAGAAAAAAACAAAACCCTGTAAGGAGTAAGTTATTTTTTAATGAGTGGAGGAGCAATATTCATAAACTTAAAATCAAATATAGACTCTCACTGGAAGTATAAATGCCAGTCTTAGTGATGTTCACAAAAAGATAAGGAGCAGATACCAAAAGCTGGCTTAAAAGATTTTCTAGAATGTCCTTGAATCTCTAAAAAAAAAAAAAAATTGGAAAAATATAGGCAAATATCATCATTGAGTTTACCCTGGAATTTTGTATAAATTTTTAGATTATTCACATGATTACAGAATTTAGAGTATAAATCAATACTTGAGGCCAGGATGAAATTTGCAATGACTGTGTCCTAAAAAGGCTTGCTTAACTTTGGTAAGGCAGATGTGCTTCAAGTTAACTTCAGGGAGTGTGTGTGTGTATATGTATGCAGTATTACTTTGTAAAGTAACTACAGTGTGTTTCTGAAAATTCCTCTTGACAAAATTCTGACAACAACAAGACTAAAGTTCCCACCTAGGAGACTCTGGGCATCCTAACACATCTTTATAGTTATTGCATGTATTGAGAGAGATCTTTTTTGAGGTAGAAAGACACTTTAAACTATTATAATTCTCAAAGAATGTGACTTTGGAAAAAGTTTGGTGGGATGTGATGATAGTCCTGCAGTCCTAAATAGAAAGAGAAAGAGAGAGAGAAAGAGAGAGAGAACAAGCTCTGGTAGGTAACTGGAAGCCCCTGACAGACTCTTAAATCCAGGGTTTCAAGCTGGGGCGCCATGGGCTGGACAGCACAGTACTTACATTTCCTTCAGTCAACCTCATAACTTAAAAAAGGTTTCATTAAAACAGTTCAATAATACATACTTCACATTAAAATCTAGACGTTCTGCTTTATTTAAAACATTGGAAACAAAAAAATGGGTTTGTACTTCTACAAAGAAGCTAATATTAATTTAAATTCATCAAGTGCCCAGCTCCCCATTTTCTCTCTGCCAGCTCCACTTATTTTCAGTATCTTCCTGACTGTTATAGTCCTATTCAGTTGTAATACTTTCTTTAAGCAACTGTGGCTAATTACACTTATTAATGCACACAACCTAAACAGACACACATGCACCTTCTTTTCCTAATTTTCTCTTTTCTACAACTTAACACTCATTTTCATTCAACCGCATTAAATCTGATCATTTTACAATCTTCATACAGCTCCTGTTTACAAGCTATTAACAAAATAAACTTCTGACATGCATGATGGATTTGTGGATATGGACAGAGGGATGGAATCTGTTCTTTGATTCCCCCTTTCACTCTACCTTTATCATTATTAAAATTGCAACTTCAAAATGACCCACAATATCTTATTTCATCTTTGCCCATGGCATCACATTAACAAGTTTCTAATCGTAAGACTTTTACTTCCTTTCATCCACAAAAGATTCCTGATTCTGATTTATTCACCCATCTCTGAAATGGGAAAGTGGGAGAAAAAAAGTTTCTAGCCATTCATTTGCATGAAAGCCCTCTTTAATGATATTTTCTCTAAGAGGAATATCTTGCTGAATCATGTAAAATAGGGGAGTTTTCATAATTTTGGAAGTTCCACTGCATGCTTTATGAATAGTATTTAAAAACTTGAATCTTTGAACTTCAGCATAATTCTAAGGGGAAAAATATTACTTTATAAAGTGATTACTGTTTAATTGGACAAGAGTGCTAATTAAGTAGAAAAGCTATAGTTTATACTTCCATATATGCTTTGAGGCTTTGTTTTTTTTTTCCCCGATAATTCTTAAGGTTATTATTTACCAATTTCCATTATTTTTGCCATTTCAACAAAAATATTAAAGTAGAATTATGTGGCTTATATTCACTCCCATATAAAAAAGAGATGTTGTTATAAGTTAAAAGGGCTCTGCTAGTATTTGAGCACTCAGACATTTGGGGGCAGATTTGCTTATTTTATTACTGGTACAGCGTAATCTGTATGCATAAGAGAAAATTATTTAAATTCTGTTTGCTCCTCAAGCAAAAACAATGTTGTATTGAATGACCATTGATAGATATGCCAAATTTTACAATTATAGTACAGGCTATCTTTTATAAGGAATGCTCTAAAACCAGCTAATGTCACTCATGTTTTGTTTATCTGGCCTGCAATTATTAAGCAACTCTGCCAGATGTATTTAAACAGGTAATATGGTTGGTGTAGTTAGAGCATTAGTTAGCACTTAGTCTGCCTGTTATTCATCATTTCCCCCTCAACTACATAGTTCTCCCAAGTTAATCTACATGTCATCCACTTTATGCATCTTCTTTTTGAAATATGTTATTGGTCACTATTAGTCTAAAAAACAAACAAAAAACTTGTTACTGAGACCCTCTTTGATGTGTTGAGACCACAAGTTCTTCTTGCTGAGTGTCACTTATGACAGTAGAATGAGACAGAGTTCAGGTCAGAAAAACAGAAGCTTTATTCTTTGATTAAGGAATGGAGAGGCAACAGGTCATTATTTAAATACATCTTCTCCCCAAAATGGGACAGTGGGAGACTTCTAAGGGGCCAGGATGGCAAGGGTGGTGATGGTGGTGTGAGGATTTAGGGGAAAAGGGTGCAGATTTCCAGGGATGGCTAGTGTGTATGCAGTCTCTTGGACCCCATTGCACATGGCACCAATTGTGTCCAGCAAGGTGCATTTCTCTGTCCCGGGGGGACAACTTGGAATGCTAATGTATTAGAATAATAGTATAATGAGCTCATAAGTAGGTCAGGTCTGATATCTTGCAGTTGCCTGGTTCTGGCCGGTTTTGAGGTTTGGCTTTTTGAATCCTTGTTGCCTCATTTTTCTGTAAGTAAGCATAGCTCTAGAGCAACAGTTATTTTTCCTATTTTTTTCAGGGGCATTGTAAAAGGGGGCAATCAAAGGCAATGGAAAAGACTGAGGAGCTTATATCCCAGTAACATATCCTGGTGACAGGCTAGATTTTCCAGTTCCCTGTGATTTGGTAAGTAATATACATGTTCAAACTTATCACATGCTAGTGCACTGTGTAGACTCTATCTCTAGGAATCTCTTTTTTTAAACTCATTTTTTGCTATTTTTTTTACTTTATTTCTTCTACTTGAATGATTTTGCTCCTTTCCTTTTTCCCATGTAGATGTTATTCAGATTCAATGCCCCATGGAAATTCCATTATATCATTATATCCATGAAATAATCTTTGACACTCTAGTGTCAGCAACATGCTGGTCCATACTCCTATGCTACATGCTACTGCTTATTATTGTTAACAGAACTGAAATAAGACAATAGCATCTATTTGGAGTCTCACGATTGCTATTTGGGGAGCAAAGATTTGGGCACTGATGCAAATTGTGTCCCACTAGGGAACAAAAGTTAGGGGTTTGTAAAGACAGAGGGAATGTTTGTATACATCGTTTACACAGAATTTTGATTGGTGTTGGAGGCAGAAAACTTTTCTTGACTGAATATTACAGGTAGCTAAGGCTATCACTAAGCAAAGTCTCTTACTATAGCATGTACTCTGGCTGAGTCCTTGAAATGTTTCTGGTTTTGTCCAGTTCAAAAGTTTGTGGTTCCACCATTGAGGAGGTGCACAAAATCTGTCTCCTTAATGACTTCCCAGTACTATTTTTAAACCCCTTGACATAAGTGATTCTATTTTATTTCACCCTTCATATTATGTTTTTCTTTTTATTAAAGTATCACTGCTATACAATCATGAAGGATTCACATGAGCGACATTGGCTTTTAACATTCACCCATATTATCAAGTTCCCCCACCCCATTGCAGTCACTGTCCATCAGCATAGTAAGATGCTATGGAGTCATTTCTTCTCCATGCTATACTGCCTAACCCATGACCTACTGATATTGTGATTGCAAATTATAGTGCCCCTTAAGCCCCTTAATCCCCTTTCCCCCCACTCCCCACACACTGTCCTCGCCCCCTTCCCTTTGGTAACCACTTGTCCCTTCTTGGAGTCTGTGAGTCTACTGCTCTTTTGTTCCTTCAGTTTTGTTTCTTTGTTATACTCCGCAAATAAGTGAAATCATTTAGTACTTGTCTTTCTCTGCCTGGCTTATTCACTGAGCATAATACCCTCTAGCTCCATCCATGTTGTTGCAAATGGTAGGATTTGTTTTCTTCATATGGCTGAATGATATTCTATTGTATATATGTACCATTTCTTCTTTATCCATTCATCTACTGATGGACAATTAGGTTGCTTCCATATCGTGGCTATTATAAACAGTGCTGTGATAAACACAGGGGTGAATATGTCTTTTTGAATCAGGGATCTTGTTTGCTTTTGGTAAATTCCTAGGAGTGGAATTCCTGGGTAAAATGATATTTCTATTTTTAGTTTTTTGAAGAACCCCCATACTACTTTCCACAGTGGCTACACCAAATGACTTTCCCACGATAGTGTAGAAGGGTCCCCATTTCTCTACATCCTCACCAGCATTTCTTTTCTTTTGGATGCTGGCCATCCTAACTGGTGTGAGGTGATGTCTCATTACAGTTTTAATTTTCACTTGCCTGATAATTAATGATGTGGAGCATCTTTTCATGTGCCTGTTGGTCATTAGAATTTCATCTTGGAAAAGTGTATGTTCAAATCCACTGCCCATTTTATAATCAGGTTGTTTGTTTTTTTAGTGTTGAGGCATGTGAGTTCTTTAAATATTTTGGATGTTAACCCCTTATCAGAAAAGTCATTTATGAATATATTCTCTCATATTGCAGGATGCCTTTTTGTTCTGTAGATGGTGTCCTTTGCTGTACAGAACCATTTTTGCTTGGTGTAGTCCCATTTGTTCATTTTTGTCTTGCCCAAGGAGATGTGTTCAGGAAAAAGTTGCTCATATTTATATTCAAGAGATTTTTGCCTATGTTTTCTTCTAAGAGTTTCATAATTTTACTGTATCCCACAGGTTTTGGACTGTTGAATTGTTGTTTTCATTTTTCTCCATATTTAGCTTGATTTCTGTTTTTATTTTGTCATTGATTTTTTAGGAGCATGTTGTTAAGCCTCCGTATGTTTGTGGGCTTTCTTGTTTCTTTTGCATAATTTATTTCTAGTTTCACACCATTGTAGCAAGCTGATTGGCACAATTTCAATCATTTTAATATACTGAGGCTCTTTTTGTGGCCTAGTATGTGATCTATTTTGGAAAATGTTCCATGTGCACTTGAGAACAATGTGTATCATGCTGATTTTGGGTGGAGTGTTCTGTAGATATCTGTTAGGTCCATCTGTTCTACTGCGTTATTCAGTGCCTTGGTGTCCTTACTTATTTTCTGTCTGGTTGATCTGTGATATTTATAATGGCTATATCCTTCTGTTGGACTGACCCCTTTGTCATTGTGTCATGTCCTTGTTTATCTCTTGTTACTTTCTTTGTTTTGAAATATATTTTGTCTGATATAAGTACTGCTACTCCTGCTTTTTTTCTCCTTATTATTTGCATGAAATATCTTTTTCTGTCCCTTCACTTTTAGTCTGTGTATGTTTTTGGGTTTGAAGTGAGTCTCTTGTAGGCAGCATATAGATTGGTCTTGTTTTTTCATCCACTCAGTGATTCTATGTCTTTTGATTAGTGCATTCAGACCATTTACATTAAGGATGATTATTGATAGATATGTACTTATTGCCAGTGCATGCTTTAGATTTGTGGCTACCAAAGGTTCAAGGGTAGCTTTTTACTATCTAACCAGTCTAACTTAACTCCCTTGGTACATTATTTCAAATACAATATAAAGGTTCTTTCTCTTTTTCTCCCCTTTTTCTTCTTCTTCTTCCTCCTCTGCTCTTTATATATTAGGCATCATATTCTGTACTCTTTGTGTATCTCTTGTTAACTTCATGAGTTGTTAATTTAATTTTGTTTTGCTTCATAATTAATTGGTCTTCTACCTTTACTGTGATTTTATTTTCTCTGGTGACAGTTTTTTGGCCTTAGAAGCACTTCCATCTAGAGCAGTCCCTCCAAAATACACTGAGGAGATGGTTTGTGGGAGGTAAATTCCCTCAATTTTGAATTATTTGGAGATTGTTTAACCCCATTTCAAATTTAAATGATAATCGTGCCAGGTGGAGTATTCTTGGTTGGAGGCCCTTCTGTTTCATTGCATCAAATATTTCAGGAGATTCCCTTCTGGCCTGTAAGGTTTCTGCTGAGAAGTCTGCTAATAGCCTGATGGGGTTTCTTTTACAAGTGATCTTTTTCTCTCTCTGGCTCCCTTCAGTACTCTCTACTTGTCCTTGATCTTTGCCATTTTAATTTTTATATGTCTTGGATTAAATACTATGGCAGCTATAGGAGCCTAATGCAGAGTCTCCTCCCTGCATGCAGGGCCCACTGAACACTGGCAGTGGAGACTGGTGTTATGGCCAGGAAGGCAAGTTCAAAAGTCCCAGCCAAGCTCTTTTTTCCCAGCAGGCACCAGATCCACTCCCCTGTGACCCCAGCTGTTGCTGCAGGCATATAGCAGCTCCAGAGAGTAGAGCTTGTGTTGGGAGGATTCCTTGTGTTGGGACATCTCTGTACTTCCATCACCTGACACAGTCTCCTCTAGTTCATCTAATCTACTTTTAAATCCCTCCATTGTATGTTTCTTTTCAGATATTGTATATTTCAAAGCTTCTATCTCTTTAACTCCTGCCTGAGATCTTGAATATTTTTCTGTATGTTTATGACTTTTTTTTTGAAATCTTTATCAAGAAGATTGGTGATTTTAGTTTCACTAAGCACCCCTTCTGGCATTTTTTTCTTGTGATTTTGTTTGGGCCAAATTCCTTTGCTGCTTCATTTTTTAGTGTTCCCTATGGCCTAATAACTTTGTGTAGGCAGCACCCTTTAGTTCCTAGAAGCTCTACTCTCTGAAGCTGCCATGTGCCTGCAGCAATGGCTGGGGTCACAGGTGAGTGGATCTGGTGCCTGCCTGGAGGAAAGAGCTTGGCTGGGATTTTGAACTTGCTTTCCTGGCCATAACACCAGTCTCCACCGCCAGTGTTCAGTGGGCCCTGCATACAGGGAGGAGCCTCTGTGTTAGGCCCCCTATAGCTGCCATAGGCAGGGCCACCCTCTGGCTGGCCTGGAATTGGTGGAGTTGTCAGGTGAGTTGTACTGATACCTAGTGTGAGGAAGGAGTGACAGGTTGCATACCACAGTGAGGGCACCTCGGGGCTATATTGCCATCCAGGGGGATGGAATGTCTGAAGCCTCTGAGAGTTCCCAACCTGCTGGGCTGAGCTGTTGGGAAGATTTTTTTGCATCTGTCCTCTATTCTGAGCAGCAAGTTTTATGTAATCTTTGCCCTTTAAGTGCCCCTCTCACTGTTGGTAAGTCCTTCAAACTTCTTGCCTTTCTTTTGTCCAGGGGGCTGGTTATGAGTATAAGCAGTTGAGGACTGAAATCTCAGTCTCTGCAAGTATTCTCCTTGTCTTTGCTCTCCAACCCCATTAATCTCCAGAGTACCATGTAATGTGAGTTTGTGCTCCCAAAGATCTCTAGTGCTAGTGTTCAGTATTCCTGGACTTCTGCTCCCTCCCTGCTCCATTTCTCTTCCTCCCCCCTATGGGCTGGGATGGGTGAGCTTATGTCCTGCCAGATCACAGCTTTGCTACTTTACCTTTTTCTGTGAGGTCTTCTCTTTTTCTCCAGATACAGCCAGTTTGTTCTGCAGTCATCAGGTCACTTTTTCAGAATTAGTGGTATTTGCTGTATTTTCATGTTTAATGTGATTTTGGGAGGAGGTTTCTGTCTCACTTCTCATGCTGCTATCTTTTTCCCCTTCCCACATTATGTTTTGACTTGTATATATTTTATTCTCAAACCTAGTAATTCTGTAACAGTTGTCAATTAAAAAAAATATATGCCACAGAGCCTTATTGACCATTAAAGAATTTATAATGTATTAATTGAGAATATGTCATTCCATCTTTAAGAAATGTTTTCATAGCCATAATTTAATTT